ATGCAAAGTGAGCCACTCTGACTCTAAAAATCTAAAATATGTGATAGAGCCGAGAGGCTGGAATCTCATTTATAAAGGCTACTTTTTGTCTTCTATTATCCAATTAATTTTTTTTCTTATTTAATTAACAACATAGGGGTTCCTCATATTATAAACCAGGGGTGGGCAACTCCAGGCCTCCAGGGCCGGTGTCCTGCAGGTTTTAGATCTCACCCTGGGTCTACACACCTGAATCAAATAATTAGTTCATTACCAGGCTTCTGGAGATCTTCAAGACATGCTGAGGAGGTAATTTAGCCATTTAAATCAGCTTTGTTGGATTAGGACACATCTAAAACCTGCAGGACATCAGCCCTTGAGGCCTGGAGTTGCCCACCCCTGCTATAAACTAAAGGCTCTTCATTTTGAGGGACAAACTCGGTGATCACACCGTGACCTAGCAGCACTTGGCAAGTGGGGGAAGGAACAACTCTTTTAACAGGAAGAGATGTCCAGCAGAACCTCAGGCTCAGGCGCATGCTTTAAGATGCTAAGAGTAGCACTGTAAACATGAGGCAAATCAGCGATTCAGACAAATACTGCTGTGCTAGACATGAGCCAATATAAACATGCCAGCTTTATGTAATTCACTCAGTTCAAGTTGGCTTTTAGTTCAACAAGAGAACAGGCTGGAACCCTTTACTACCAAAAGAGACATTTGGGGGGGGGAGAGATTAAAATCTTTCCACACACTGCTAAGTTCTGTACCTTTAATGTATCTGAATATGGAAACCAAGGCTAGCTTTACCCTAAACTCACTCTGAACTCTATTGTGACGTCTCCCCCTCGTTCTGCAGCACCACGCGACCATCCAGCAGTACATGGGAACCCTGGAGAACCTGCTGTTCACCGCCGAGCTCGACCACCACATCCTGGCCGTGTACCAGCAGTTCTGCGCCCTGCAGCTTTGAGACGCACGATCCCGATGAAATGTGTACTTGTGTTCACCCGATGTGATGAAGCGACACATTAGAAAAACCAGCTCTTGCATCAAGAATCTCCTCTTCAGTTTTATTTTTATTTTCCTGTCTGGTGCCATTCATTTCACTCATGTGCAGCCACATCAGAGGATGTCTGTTGAGAAAATCTTTAATTTG